TCAGGCCAGTCAACTAAACTAAAAAAAACACTGTAAAAACCTTCGAAGTATCAAACGTTCTAAGATGCCTTGAAATGGACGGTTTAAAACAGTTAACGCTCTAGGGCTTTCAAATTTCACATCCAAAGCTATGACATGTGTTAACATTTTATGTTTGTCTTGCTAAGACGAGTCCAAATTCGTATGCAGATTTCAATTTGGTAAATTTTAAGAAAATTATCGCGGTTACTACACTGCAAACAAGTGAATTAAATGCTGTTTCTCATAATGCCAGAGCCATCTTGGTGCAAAGTAGCCACGGATCGCCTTCGTGGCCAACTTTTGCGGTTTGGAACTCATTTAGTGCAAGAGAAACCACCATTTCAAGTCTCAGTTTCAGAACCATTCTTAATCATCTTGGTGATTCACAAATTATCACAAATTTGTGATAAAACTATCTATTCTGCAGCAATTATTCAACCTTTATACATTTTCAGAAGCAAAAAGCAAATTTTCGACAAAAATAAATCATTATCAGGCCAAAATATGAGAAAAAACACTCAAATATGTGTGGTCATGGTGCCCCACTAAAAAGTGGTCATGGTGCCCCACAGTGCAGTTTACGACTCTAAGGCTCCCCGAGAAAGCAAACAACTACTTAGAATTAAATGTGATGTTGAATATTTTGCCGAAGAGCCGACATTTTGAGAAAAACCTAAGACATCGAACCTATCCTCTCAAATGTGAGAGTGAGAAAAAATATCCCAGATTTGAAAAACGCCCAATTTAGCCAAAACGCTGTAACAAAAATTTTGGCGAGGTGCTATGGTCGTACCCTTGAAGCTAGAAGGTAGGGCTCTGGCTGAAAATAGTTAGAATTCTATTCTCTCGAAAGTCCGGTCGACCGGTTGCCGTCGGCAAAGTAGTTCCCGAGAGCGAGGGGGGTGGTCATGGTGCCCCAGTGGTCATGGTGCCCCACCCTCCCTTAAAGTGTGCTGCTAAACAAGCGTTTCAAGAGGTGCTAACAATAATGAGATACTGTTGAAAGATAATTTTCCCGGACCCAAGATCAACTAAACCCAGTGATAAAATGGCCTAAAAAGTGGATTAGAGGTCTTCGGCTGGGGCATCAAATTGCGTGAACACCATTGGGTTTTATACATAATCTAATATCTAATACACATCTTTGGACAGTAAAAATATTGTTTGTTTTTGGATCATTTCGGTCCAAATGTCTTTTTTTTTTTGGCTGAGCGATAGCGAAGCCTGTTACTCCAGTGGGGTTGAAAAGTTTTGTCTGTCTGTCGGTCTGTCTGTCCGCACTACTCCTCAGGGTTGCCAGCGCCCAGGACTGTTGAAAATAGTAGAAAAGTGACTTAGCACCTTTTAAAATAGTGACAAAAAAGTGACGTCTTTTTGCTAAATAGTGACAATAAAGTTACATTTTTAGACTAAATTTTGCTATGATCTGTAGAAAATTATCGCTTTTGGCACTTAATTGGAGCTCAAATACATGGTATGTGGGTGTAAGGACCATAAAACCGGAAAAAGGCGCGTGAAACAGAGGCAATGGAATGGTTCTGTAAAGTTAACGGGAACTTTTAAACTCGAAAGAACAAAAAGAGAAGCATTAAAGCAAAAGCTTTAAAAACAAAACGGTGTTAGGATACATCTCTACTTAAAATATAAAACTGAACCAAATTCTCAAAAAATACAAATAAATCTGATAAGATAGACTGGCCTATCTCGCCCGCAATAGAAGCCGGCCGCCTCCTAATTCACTCGCCTGACCGCGCGACGTAACACAACCACAACGCGGGGTCATATTCAAAAGATCTTATCTGGGCGTTCCCCCCAAGTGAATATTATCTTAAACGCAGACAAATTTTACTCATTTGTCATTTGATTTGGCTGCAAATCAATATGATTTGTGATAGAATTCACTTAAACCCTAAGATGAAAGATCTAAACAAGTAAAAGTGCAAGTAGAAATGTATTCCGCTTACTCTCGTGTCCGTCCAGAACGATCGAACTGAGTGAAATACACCTGCCTTAAGGCTAAGATTCTCTTGGGGCGAACGCCCAGATAAGATCATTTGCATAGGACCCCTCGTCAACAGTCACCGCCTTCCGACACAGCGCTGCCGCGCGGTTCGATACCTCGATAGACTTCACGAAACCGGCGGCGGGTGATTTGAACAGTGTTTTGAACCAAAGGCAAATTTACGCTTATAACGAAGTAAAATGGACATGATACCCTCCGCGAGCTCCAAAAAAGTGACAAAAGTGACAAAATTTCCAGAATAGTGGAAATAGTGAGGGCACTTTGGAAATAGTGAAAAATAGTGACAATAGTGAGTCGCTGGCAACCCTGAGCCTGAACGGCTCGGCCGATCTCGGTGAGATTTTGCGCACTTCTTGGGTATGTCCTTGGCTCGGCACACCATCCTAGCTCAACTGGTTCAGCTTTTATAGGCGAAAAACACCTAAAAAACGGCGAAAAATAGAGATTTCTGCAGATAGACCACTTCTGTCTTGGAGAAAGGGGGGTCTGGGGGCGGAGCCCTCCAGCCTCGACAAGTTGAAAAGTGACAAGGGTCAAGATCGTGTTATCTGTAAAACAAGGTAGGTTTACGCCAGACCGCGTCTTGTCGTAACAGGCTTCGCGATGTCTCGCTGCATGTTCCTCCAAGCCGCGCCTGGCGGACCTACCTTGGCCTGCGGCGCTGGCCTGCCTTCGGCAGGCAATGGCTTGTCCATCGTCGGTTATTTCTAAATTGTTGCATGCTGGGGGGCTCCGCCCCGCAGACCCCCCTTCATTCCAGATAGAGTTGCTTCATCCACAGATAACACGATCTTGACCCTTGTTACTTTTCAACTTGCCGGGGCTGGGGGGCTCTGCCCCCCTGACCCCCCTTTCTTCAGGGTAGAAGATATTTGCCGGCAGCTAACTCGATTTTCGCCGTTTTTTAGGTGTTTTTCGGCTATAAAAACTGAACCAGTTGAGCTAGGATAGTGAAATTTCGCGTGTGCCGAGCCAAGGACATACCAAAAAAGTGTGCAAAATCTAAGCCAGATCGGCCGAGCCGTTCAGGAGGAGTAGTGCTGACAGACAGACAGACAGACAAAACTTTTCAACCCCACCTGAGTAACGGGCTTCGCTATCGCTCAGCCAAAAAACAACTCTATTTACAATGTAGGGGGGTCTGGGGGGCGGAGCCCCCCAGCATTCATCAAGTTAAAAAATAACCGACAACGGACAAGCCATTGCCTGCCGCAGGCAGGCTAGCGCCGCAGGCCAAGGTAGGTACGCCAGGCGTGGATTGGAGGAACAGGCAGCGAGACATCGCGAAGCCTGTTACGACAAGACGCGGTCTGGCGTAAACCTACCTTGTTTAATTCAGGATATACATTTTCTAAACCGTTTCAAGAGTGCCACAAAGGACTCTTTGTTGCATGTATTGACCGTCGGTGTGCCTTCAGGCCTGGCAACGATGGCCTACTTCGGGCCCTGGCTGGTCGAGCCCTGGCACCTGCGCCGCATGCGGCTGGGGCTGATGCAAGTGGCGGGGGGCCGCGGGGGCCTCCTGAGCGGCCGCGGCATCGGCAGCCTGTCGCGGCGGGCGTGCGGCAGCGCCCTGCGCACGTGGTTCAGCTTGCTCCAGGCCTACCTCAATCTGCGCTGGGGCAAGAAGGCTCGCAGCTGAATTCTCCCTCTTCTCGCACATTTAACGTTACGCGGCATGATTGTTCACGAGACTTTATGGGCCAGTTGGACTCATTATGGGACACAAGGAAAAACCCAGGCAAAACGGGCACATCTTGGACAAGATGTGAAAATGTTGTTTTCACAACAAAAGCACGCATTTGGTGGGGGCCCAAAGTTCTAAGTGTCGAATCTTGTCCAGGAAACAGCAGTCCCAATTTTACTTCGTGCCCCAAAAATTACCTCAACTGACCCTACACAGCACTTAGCGTCCAAACGAATCCTTTTAACGTAAAAAAACGATCCTGGAATTAGAGGTACACGGGATTCGTGATCAGTGGCCTTCTCGCACTTCGGGTGTGGCAAAACCTGCTACTCCATTCAAAGGGTCCTTCTCCATAAATTAAAAACCCAAATAAATGAGATTGATGCCCTGTTGTGAAGTTGCCAACATTCCACCCGATTGAAGCCCGAATGAACTGCCCGCAGGGGATGGACGTTATGGGAATTTTGCCGAGGGGTCCAGCTTCTTGACTTCTTTCGCCAAGGTGAATGACAGCCACACGCCAGCCACCTGAAAACACAACGTGATGTGAATTTCAAATTTGTACTGCAGTTGCTGCAACGGAAAACCACTGCAAGTAAGAAGATGCTGTAAATTTTTAATGCTTGGCCAAGTACACACTTACAAATGTATGCTTGGCATGTACACACTCACAAATGCATGCTTGGCAGATAGGCCAACACACTTTCAAACGCCTATGCTTAGCATGGAGTTATATGGCGCCAACCACGCGTTTGTAAGTGCGTACTTGCAAGCATGCTTTTGTAAGTGTGTACTTAGTACAGTTGGGTTTGTAGTGTACTTTTAACTTTTTTTACACTGCAAAATTAAGTATGAAACAGTCTCACACTAATGCGAACGACAACGTTGCAAGCTTGCAAGTGTGGGGCACTAACGTTTCACATCTGGCCATGAGGGGCACGGTCCGTCCTCACTTTGTCGATCCTCGCTAGGAGACCCGCGTTTTCAAATGTGGGGTAGACCGTCCCCAACGTTTCCCAGGCGTGAGTGAGAGATTGGTGTCTCATACTTGCAAGCGTGAGACTTTTGGTTGATGCCCAATAGTGTGAGACCGTCCGACACTTGTGTTTGCCGTGTAGAGCCTTGAACAAAAGGTGAAACAAAAATCCTCACTTCACTACGATCCGACCTCTGAGCACGATCGCAAAAAAATACATACCCCGGGGAGAGCAATGGTGATGGAGATTGCCCCCAGGGCGTTCCCAAACTTCTCCGCGTACCACATGTTTTTTAAAGTGCAGCCCTCGCCATACGCTGCAACGAGTTGCACGTATTCCCGTTGTAGCAACAAGAACTGGGAAGTTTGTCCCAAAAACGAAGCGTCGTAGGTGCCCAGCATCGGAGCTGTAAAATAAATGTAGAATATAAAGCAAGGTTTGTCATTAAGTCCTTGCCGAGGCATTCGAACTTTTTTTGGGGTGCCCATTCACGTAACGTCAGCGAAAAAAAATTCAGGGGTAATTGTTTTCCCCAAACTCTTTCACGGGGGGGGGGGGGGCATTTTGGCCTCAGTGTTTGAGAACGGCTGGAGATGAAAAAGAAAGTCACGTAGTCTCTAGCCGTTTACCTAGAGAAACTCAAAAAATCACTCGAAAAATATGTTGGACGCCCTGGTCAGCGGACACCTCTGGAGATAAGCATTTGACTTTCATCCGACGAATAGAAAGTCATTCGTTAAATTTTGTAATTTTCTTTAAGTATGAGGTCATGACCTGAGGATCCTCATTTAACGGCGGCCATGCCACGTTCAACATAGTTCAGGTTCTGACGGATGTGACGTCACATTCGTTGAACACTGAGGTTTCTTCACTGGGAAAACAAAGGCATAAAAATTTCGCCCTTCAGGGCACAAATACTATTTAACGCCCTTTGAGGTCGTACACCGTTTTATGCCTTTGGGGAAGGGGGTGAATAATATAGGCATTTTAAGCAAAATTTTTGCCCTTCCAACAGGCATTAAGGGGGCTCATACATGTTAAAAGCATTTAAAAAAAAAAAATTTTTGATGTAGACGGATTAAGATTTTACAATTTCTGTGTTAAAATCCGTCTAGATAATTGAGTAAGCTTCATTTTGGCCTAAGGGAAGTGACTTTGCATTTTTTGGAGATTTAGTCGAAACGTTCAAAATTTTGCTTCTCGTAAGATTTGTTCGCATACTTGCTCAGATCTGTGGGGGGGAAAAACAGGGAGACTCATCCCCAGTAGTGTCAAAATTGACTAGAATGGGCTTTATATCTGCAATACTTTTCAAAAAAAAAAAAACAAATTTTTTTTAAAAATTTTTTTAAAAAAATTTTTCAACAAAAAAAGTTTTTATTTTTTTTTCTTTAAAACTATTTCAGATATAAGCCCATTCTAGTCAATTTTATGACACTACTGGGGAGTCTCCCCGATTTTTTTCCCCCCAGACTGAGCAAGTATGCGAACAAAATCTTACGAGAAGCAAAATTTTAAACGTTTCGACTAAATCTCCAAAAAATGTCCAAAGTCACTTTCCCTTAAGCCAAAATGAAGCTTACTCAATTATCTAAAAGGATTTTAACACAGAAATTGTAAAATCTTAACCCGTCTACATCAATTTTTTTTTTTTAAAAAGTGCTTTTAACATGTATGAGCCCCCTTAACGATTCACGCCGCTCCAAGGGCGTAAATCGTTTGCGCCCTTAACGGGCGTAATTTTAATGCCTTTGTTCCACCAGTGTCGTCTTTCAGCAATGCTCACATTCATCTGCACGTCGTTGACGAAGCTCCTGGCGAGCGCGCTGCCGTCGCCGCCGTCCCTGGCCAGCTTGAAGACGTCTCCGACGACGGGCTCGAAACCCGCGGCTGTGATGAACATCACAATGGCGGCGAATACTTCACAGACGGTGATGATGATCAGCAGAATCGCAAACTGTGTGAAGGCGCAGCACACACATCGCTGGTTCCTATTCAAATGATGCCATCTTACCCTGGAATGACATCCTACCTGGTCGCTACCGGAAAAACGCCCTTTCTCAGAGACTGGCAATTTTTTTACGCAATCAATCGAATGAACAATTTCTTGTGCTAATGGACCTTTGGAACGAAAAACCCGCACATTTTTGGGTATTTTCCTAAAGAGATAACGCTCAATTTTGTACGAAAAGTTCATCTGAGCAAAATCCTGCAGTAATGTCTCGTGCAAAATTTGTATACAAAAACATTTGGTGTGGGAGCATTTGGGAAGGCTTGGAGAAAAAACAAAGTATTACCACCATGGTCTCCACACCGAATTCAAAATCAAAGAGAGCAATGGTGCATTTTGAATTTGTTTCTGTTTTCTCTCCGACCTGAGGTTAAGGCCGTAGGAGCGCAAAATTTTTTTTTCACTAATTGATAGTGATCGATGTGGTAAGGCACCATGTCAAACCGTTTTGCCCGGGGACGCATATTTCGGCGTCGCGACGCCCCAAAGTTCGAAATTTTGGCTGTTTTTGACATTTTTCAGACCACACGACGGGGAAATCAAGGGTCGCAGCGTCTTGAAACTTTGCACACTTGTTGGCAGGGACGTATGCAGGGATGGTCTATTCCAATTTGCGCTCGAACTTCTAGTAAGTAACTGGAACGCCTTGAAAAGAGTGATTTTTAGGAAGCTCCCGAGCGGAATCTAATGAAATAGCGAAAAAATGGGCCATCACATCCCCTAGGCCATGCCTTTGTCTGCACGGGGAAATTTTTTCCATTCCTCTAGGAGGTGTGGTACTCGCGTCGTGTGGTCTAGAAAAACACTCAGATTTGAAGGTCCTGCACCAGTAGAGAGAGACAGGCTGCTTCGGCCGATGTTTGTTTCTGTCGCACAGCGGAGCTCGGGGCAGGTAGTGGGGGTCCGGGGTGACGCGCCGGGCGGACAATAGGGGAGCCGTCGAGGATCCGTCTGCAAGGCAGGCGGCCCCGGGGCCCCGACCAGTTTTGGCCGATTTTCGTCGCGATTTTGGCAGAAATTATCGTAGAACAAAAATTCAAACACCATTAGACCCAGCTTTCAACGAAGAATCCATTGCCGCATGTTCCAAAAACGCGAAAAGGCTCGTTTGAAAATTTGTATTTTGGGCCTGGGGGTAATAAATCAGCCTGTCATCATCGTCGCCTCGGCGCAGCCCATTGTGAAGCAGGCCTCTCCACACAAAAGGGAGGCGGTCCCTTCGCTACCTGAAAGCTAAAATTTTTCTAACGCGTCGTTTGACACTCATGGGATGTTCACCATTGTACTCGGGATGAAATTTTTGATCTTTCCATCTAAAAATTAAGTTTCTGCGGCCAATTTTAACAGAGCAACGAGAACAACTTTTTTAGCTACATAGAAATAATCAGTACTTCGCAAAACATATTTTGTCAAATTTGGTCAAAACTTTTGATTTTGACCTGAAACTTGGACTTAGGAGTTGAAGACTGACCCCAAACTCACGAAAAGCTGGCGATCTGCTCCGTGCGGCCCAGGCCGAGCCCCGTGCCGGGGTGTCATTCACCCGCACTCCGGCAGGCCGGCCATAAACAGCCGGCCCAGGGTGCATTGTCTGCGAACCAGGTCTACGGGGCATCGGGGCCCCGGCCTCAGACGACTGCGGATGCACCCGAAAACGCTCTCGGATGCTACCATTCTCAGAGTAGCCACCCGCTCCTACGCCCTTAATGTTCCAATTTAAAGAAGTTCTCCAGCTTCTGAGAAAGAGCGTGTTTTCCCGGGAAAGACCGGATTTCCCATTAAATGTGAAGAAAAGTTCTCTTGCATAGAGACCCGTGACTTGAGGTCGCCAAGAAATCTTTCGTCAACCCGCTTCGTTTTGTCGAACGGAATCGTTTTGTTTCCGAAATTTTGCCTAACGCAGTCACATTACGTTGGTGTGTCGCGATTGGTGAATATCGCACAACAAATCTTTAGCACAATTTAAATTTCATCAAATGAAAAACAAATAACGTCTGTTCTCAGACCGTTAAGGACAAAAATAAAATGGTCTGCACTCGAAATGTTGTACAGTTAAGATTCTCCACATTATGGTGAAAATGTTCCATAATATGGTGGTGCAGCTGACTTCGTAACATACCATTGAAAATTCACTGTACCTTATAGATTATAGATATTTTGACGAATTTTGTTGGTATTATGGAGAAAATCTCTACCATAATATGTTGGTGCAGCCTCTCACCGTAAGAAATTAACAGTGTGCTCACCATTAGGAGAATGGTGTAACTTTCTATAGCCGCGCCGCAGAATCCAAAGAGCGTGACGACGAAGATGACGGCCGCCAAGATGATGACTAGGAAGACGCAGCCCCTGAGGTGTCCCGCCTTGCCGCCATCGATGACGCTCGCGCACAGGAGGCCAACGACCATCGTCGCCACCACGCACACCTGCACCGACAATTGCACTAAGTCATCAGACTTCTACACGCAAAATGGGTCGTAGGGGAAAGTCGCGGAAGAAAAGTAGAGGGTAATAAAGAAAAGTACACCCTTATGGAGCTGATACCTTGACTTCGAGCCATCCACCGACCGGTTATGTTGACTCAACATGAAAATCTGAGTATGAAATCATGAAATCCCTTACAAATGGATGTCAAGATGCCCGCTGTAGGCCACAGGGGGGCGTACTTTTCTTTCCCAGTATTTTTCTTCCCCAACCCCTACCCTGAAATCAACCCTGAAACTGTGTGCCTTTGCAGCCCACACCAGGGCACTTTTGCCCGTTCACTACAAGGATAAGAGAGGCTTGTACAACAAAATTGCAACGAAAACTGTGACAGAAACGTACAGCGAGGATTGTACATAGAAAGTACAACGGGAGTTGTTCTGTCTGGCCCAGATTATCACAGTTTTGGTGTGATAATGTAATAATGGCGCTAATAAATTGATACATTCGTAAATGCAATGCAAAATTTATTGCTCTTTAAATGCAATAACTTTTTCATGGCGCGCAATAATGCAATAAAAAGTTATTGCTTTTGAAATGAGTTGATTACTACACTGAGAAAACCTGTGTTTGTTCTCAATACACACTTTTAGGTTTGTAATGCGCTCACCATGTTCAAAATTTCGAAGATGAAGAAATACTTGACAGTGGCATTGCCGGACCGGATTCCCGCCGGCATGGTGTGCTAGCAGGCCGCCGCTCGGTGTCACACTGAAAACTCGCCCACGAGCTGCCGCAAGATAGGTCGACTTGTGGCCGCGCCTACGCCCAGCGCACCTTATCAGCGATAACCCTCGGGAGATTACGATAGCTATCGAAATTTCCTGCTGCAGGAAGTACTCGTCTCCTTTTCGGAGAAGCATTTGTCACACATGGATCGCTGTCGGCCAAAAAGTTGAGTTCAAATGTGTACGGAGCCCTCCTCCAAAATGACTATTTTCTGTTTTCCAACAATGAAACAGGCGGGAAATTCAAAAAGATGCGAATAGGCCAGCAGCCAGCTGCCACGAAATTTACTAGTAGTTACCCCCTCGATTCTTATTGATTGATTTTATTTGGGCGCATGAGTTATTGGAATCTTTTCGAATTTCCCGCCTTTTTAAATGTTGGAAAACAAAAGAATTGCCATTTTGGGGTGTGCCAAACCGTTCTTTGTTAAGGAGTCGTGTGAACCGAGCGGAATACGGATTACCTCCTGCATCCCAGTTTTTCCTGGATTACCATTGGATCACTCGGGCACGCAGGATTTGCTCCAAATTTTCCCGGATGACCTCCAAGTTTGGGGTCATCTGGATAACGGATTACCAATTTGCCGTGAGCCGGATTACTTAAGTCGTTACCCCCTCGATGAGAATAGACTTCGCGACAATGAAGGTAGCCAGGAAACGCATGCGAAAATTTAGTTCGCTGGTTACATTAAATACGCCTTTTTTACGTTCAAAATTCCATTTACCAGAACACCGTGCATCAGCATTTTGTATTAATTGGCTGAGCGTTAGCGAAGCCCTTGCCGTGTTTGGGCGCGCTGAAAAGTGACTGGTCGTGCGTCTGTCTGTCTGTGAGTCTGTTTGTACTCACCAACGATTCTCAGCAACTACAGTGGCTATAGTTTCAAGATTTCGTATTTAACGTCGCCTTAGTACCCCCAACACGAGTTTGTTTCAAATCGTTGTTTAGTATCGTTTTAATATTCAAAACATATTTTTGAATCAGGTCATTAGCGTGGTTAGGTTGGCAGCGCGGCAGTGCTTACCAATTTCTCATACCTGCGGGTCCGCGGCTCTCAAATACGGGACTTAAGCAAATAAGCAAATAAAACGAAATAAAGAGCAGAAGGGTTTGGAAATGAGATCGGCCTTAGTTTTCAACATTCTAGAAATGATTAAAACCATTTTGGAACACCAACACAGCGAAATATGGAAAATGGATTCGAAAATGATTTACGTGTTTCGTTCCCCTCTCCCCCCTCCCCTGTCAGAGGGGAATCATCTTCAGGTCAGTGCACTTTGACAGAGCATTGTAAAAAGGATGTTTTTATTTTGACCTTTTGTATTGTGTGCATCTTCTTATTTCATTCTAGTGTCATCCTCTTTTTAAAATTTTCAAACTAGAGGAAATCAGGGAAATGCATAAATAACTTGTGTTGAAATTGGCAGGCATACTTAGTTTGGACTCGAGAAATTCATTCTATTGCAATGCTGCAAGCTGACAAGAGTCCAAAAGTACTAACATGAGTTTATTAATAGAATCAATATATGGTTGTGTATATTTAATCCTAATGGAGTTTGAATTGATATTGGTTTCAAAGAGACGACTCAGGTTTTGAGCGGTGAGTGAATTGGTGATTGGATTTATTGAGACGATTCCTTTAACTTCACCGAAGTTAATGTAACTGGTACTACTCAGTAATGTTTACATGAGTAAGATAAATTATGTCGGTTCATTAAGCCTTTGTAGCCTTGGCATTGGACTCCATGTGACGAATCACTGGATTTGACAATATTTGTCCCGTTAACTGGTTTAGATCAGCCTACCCTAAACTGACTCTCTTAATATTTACTGTGATAACATGTTCCAACCAATATTGTTTTATTCACTGGTTCACAATGAAAGAATAACAAAATGTTTCATAAATATAACTTATAAATTGTGAGTTCATTAGTTAAGGAAAAGAGTTATCGAATAGTGACCCAAGCATACGAGTAGCCAATTAAGCGATTCAATGTTACAATTGAATTTTACTCGACTGAGGGATTCGCTTTGGTGTGGCATCAGGGAATTGGTGACGACAGAGGGTGCTTCATGAAGACAAATAGGAACATTTACAGAAATTGAGTTTAGTATTGTATGTAGTTTGCAGTGTACTGGTCACAAAACTACATTTATTTCAATGCCAATCCTACATTTTCATCTAGAGCTACGCAATTTGGGGCAAAACTTTCCAAGTTGAGATTTATGTATTTCCCTGTAGTTTTCAGTGCGCTGACCTCAATATTGACATCTTAATTGTCCCCTAACCCAAAATTTAACCGATTTTTGGTTAAATTTTTTGAAATGAATTGTACAGTGATCTTGCAGTTTTTTGAGTGCTGATAACGAAAATAACTCCCATTTTAAACACCAGACCTATATTTTCATCCCATATTAGGTCATTTTGGACCAAATTTCAAGTCAAGTTTTATATTGTTTCCTGCAGTTTTTTTGTGTGCTGAACTCGAAATGACTTCCAAATTTTCCCAGACTCACACTTACCCGAATTTTGACCAATTTGGACCAAAATTTTAAATCGAGTTTGACATTGATTCCAGCAGTTTTTGGTGTGCTGATAACGAAAATCACTTTCATTTCGACTCCAGACTTATATTCTCATCGCAAATTAGATCATTTTGGACCAAAATTTTCATGTTGAGTTTTACATTGTTTCCTGCAGTTTTTGGTGTGCTGAACTCAAAAATGACCTTCAAACTTTTCCCAGACTCATATTAAACCGAATTTTGACCAATTTTGGACCAAAAATTTTAAATCGAGTTTGACATTGATTCCAGCAGTTTTTGGTGTTCTGACGACGAAAATCACTTCCATTTGAACCCCTGGTCTAAAGTTCACTGAATATGAGCCCATAAGATGGACATTTCGTCTAATCAAGCAAAGTCCAAAGTGCACAAAAAATGTCAATTCGCATCGCTCAGCCACACTACGCGCCCAGACTGAACGGCGCGTACCCCTAGTTTAGAGTCTGGACCGAAAATGGGAAGACCGAAATAAAACCCTTTTGCGACCGTTATTGTCGAAGCATGATTTAACAACCCAGAGAGAGTATTCGACCACGTGCCCTGAGGCCTCTGAAACGAAACCCTGCCACGGGTTTGACGCTAGGAACCCCGGGCCCCCCACATGAGCAAGGGGGGAAGGCCAAAAAGTTTCAGAACAGATGCGAGTGGAGTGGTTATTGGTTATTCATAATCATGATCCGCGGGATCGCTTAATGTCCGTGAGCGTTACTCGCAGGCGTCGCGGAGTGAGATAAGACGTCATTCATCGGAAGTGACGGCTTTGAACTTGTGTCGCCAGTACCGACTGCGTCAGTAGTGCAGGCACGTTCACAGCCACGCCGGTGGCATGTTTCCATGGTAAGTTACATATTGAGATGACAATCAGAAGCGTCTGGTCACTCCGTAGAGGATTTCTGTGACTTCCCACAATGGAACAGTGTCATCTCAACTTGTACTTCTTGAACGAAGTGTAATTTGGAGACAAGTCAAATGGAATTATAGTCAGCAGAAAGTTTTGGGTTTTTCCTCTTTGTCTTTTTTGTACTTAGCTCTATTTCCGTTTAAGTTCTTGAAATGAAGGTGGATTAATTCTTTTCACAGTAGATTCTATAAAAATCCAAAAACTTTTAGTTCTTGCCTATGGACAATATTTTTAACGGATCCATGTTGACTTTGGTTGAGTTGTTTCCATTTTCCGCTAAATTGAGAGCGCACACTGCAAATGCGAAGGCGATACTAAAGTACATTTTTTGGAGATACAATTAAGTATCGCCCATAAACGCGAGGGGGAAACCACTCGCGTAATAGTCGGGTCACCGATTCCTAGTATTACGCGTAATAGTAATAGCGTAATAGCCAAATTTTTTTAAAAAAATTTCTTATTTAGGGTCTGATTTAAGCCTAAATCTGGATATTTTCGAGCGTAATAAGCCTTCTGTAATAGCGTAATAGAACGTAATAGGGAAAAAGGGGGGGGGGCACCATGACCACTGGGGGACCATGACCACCCCCCCCGTCTCGGGAACTACTTTTCCGACGGCAACCGGTCGACCGGACTTTCGAGAGAATAGAATTCTAACTATTTTCAGCCAGAGCCCTACCTTCTAGCTTCAAGGGTTTCGACCATAGCACCTCGCCAAAATTTTTGTTACAGCGTTTTGGCTAAATTGGGCGTTTTTTTTAAAACTGGGTATTTTTTCTCACTCTCACATTTGAGAGGATAGGTTCGATTTCTTAGGTTTTTCTCAAAAAGTCGGCTCTTCGGCAAAATATTCAACTCACATTTTAAATTTTAAGTAGTTGTTTTCTTTCTCGGGGAGCCTTAGAGTCGTAAACTGCACTGTGGGGGACCATGACCACTTTTTAGTGGGGCACCATGACCACCCCCATTTGAGTGTTTTTTTTTTCATATTTTTTTGGGCCCGATAATGATTTTTTTTTGTCGAAAATTTGCTTTTTTTTCTTCTGAAAATGTATAAAAGGGTTTAATAATTGCTGCAGAATAGATAGTTTTATCACAAATTTGTGATAATTTGTGAATCACCAAGATGATTAAGAATGGTTCTGAAACTGAGACTTGAAATGGTGGTTTCTCTTGCACTAAATGAGTTCCAAACCGCAAAAGTTGGCCACGAAGGCGATCCGTGGCTACTTTGCACCAAGATGGCTCTGGCATTATGAGAAACAGCATTTAATTCACTTGTTTGCAGTGTAGTAACCGCGATAATTTTCTTAAAATTTACCAAATTGAAATCTGCATACGAATTTGGACTCGTCTTAGCAAGACAAACATAAAATGTTAACACATGTCATAGCTTTGGATGTGAAATTTGAAAGCCCTAGAGCGTTAACTGTTTTAAACCGTCCATTTCAAGGCATCTTAGAACGTTTGATACTTCGAAGGTTTTTACAGTGTTTTTTTTAGTTTAGTTGACTGGCCTGATGGTAATGACAGCGATATAAACAATTTCA